ATTTTATTATTTATAATTATTTTTTTAATATTTTTGTATTTTAAAAAAGTAAATCAGAGCTGAATGAATACAAAAATATAGGCAAATTTGCCTACGTTGGCTTACAATCTAAGGGATATTATTTTTTTATAAACTTTTTTGTCTTGTTTATAAACTTTTGTTTAACCTTTTCTATATTGAAGAAGAAGATAAGATATATATACTTTTTGATAACTATAAGCTTTGTGCTAGTTGAATTATACTATGAGCTTCAGCTAGTATAGTTCAATTATTTTTATTTTAGATTGTAAGCTTTTTGCTAGTCTTCTACTTAAATAAACTTTGGTCTCAGTAGATATTTTTTCTTTTATTTTTTCTCTTTTAATAAGTAGTAGTATATAATGCTACTTGTTTTTCTATCCTTGTAGTTTCAAGTTTTAAGGTTTTTGAACTTGGTTAAGAAGATAAGAGACTTTTATCAATTAGTATAATAACTAATAAACCTTATTTATTATATTCTTTAAATAAGTTTTCTGCTAATATATAGATCAATTTTTGATATCATTTTGTTTTTATCTTTGAGTATATATACTTAGAAAATCATAATTTTCTAACTTTTTGTTATTATATTTTTAGATGCCAAGAACTCCAAAAGAAGAGTCTGTTAAGAAGAAGCTTGTAACTTAAAAAGCTAAAATAAAAGAGTATTAGAAAGAAGTTGAAAAGTTGTAAGAACAAGTAAAGCAACTTAAAAGTAAAAATAGATATTTGTATCAACAAAAGTCTAGGTTAGATCTAGAAGCGGAGAAAGAAGAAATTTGAAAAGAAGTTTATTCTGTTCTAAAAAATAGTTTAAATTAGGTTTCAGTAGAATAGATGTTGAATGAAAAGTAGATTAAGAAAAATCTAGATATAGATCTAAGTAATCTACTAAAGAAAAATTAAAAATTATATAATTAAATTTTGTAAATAAAAGTTTTATAATAAAAATTTGTTCGATAAATTTTTAAAATAATAAAATTGTTAAATAAAATTCTAAGTTAATAAAATGTTTGAATTAATAAAATTATTTAAATATAAGTTGCATTATTTGTAAAATTGTTTGTAAAAATTGTTTATAAAAATTGTTTGTAAAAATTATATAATTTCATCAAATTAAATGATCTTTATAATTTTGTAAAAAAAATTATAAGTTTTAAAAATTAATGATAAAAATAAAAATTGTAATAAAAATGAAAATTAAAGTATTCTTTATCAAATAAAAGAATTACTTAATGTATATCAAAGGATTTAAAAGATAATTACTATTATTTAAATAAATAATAATATCAAATAAAAATAAAAAGATAGCAGATATTATAACTTAAGGAATACTACTTATACTCATTAGTTAGAATTACCATACTCTAAGCTAGAATTGAACTCTCAATCTAAGAATCTATTAGATACATATGTTCAAACCATTATCTTATAACTATTTAATGTTTAATTTTTTTAACTAAATTCTTAAAAGTAGCAAGAATTTGATAAGAATTATCTAATAGAATTATTTAAATCAAATCAGATGATAAATAAAAGATAGAGTATATATAAGGTTTTTGATAAGATCGATAAAATCAAACTTAAAAAAAAATTAAAAGTTTTAAAATAATAATAACAATAAAAATAATACCTCACTATTTCAATCATAAACAAAAAAAATTCTCTAGTCAACACCTAAGAGAAAACTTAAATAATCCTCTTATTGAAACTTTGGACATAATCCAAACAGAAAACAGAAGGTATTTATCAATATGTGTGACTAGTAGGTAATACCTAGAGTAGTAGAGTATGAGGTATGATATACGTTACGTAGTTGTCAGACCTACTAACTTGTATTCACGATTTTGATTGGTTAAAAGTAACAGGCGACTATCGGGTAATCTCGTGATATGCTTGGTCTCGTGTAATTTTTCTCTACATTCTTCTACATTATCTCTATTTTTCATTATGCAAATCGACTTTCATTTATAATTGAAAAATGACAACCATGTCAAAATATACATGAATTTAATAAAAACTCATTTTTTTTAAAAATGTAAATATGGGCTGTTTTAATTGGAGACACCCCATATAAGAAATATGTAAAAATAAATCTGTAATAACTGATAAGTTATTGACTTTAGTAGTAAATAATATTCGTACGTACTAATGATTGGACCCGGGTAAAAATTGCTGCTATATGGTTACCCGAGATACATAGTAAATTACCCGGACAACCCGGGTAGGGATTTTCTCAACGGTCCAACTTCTAGTATTGTTTTTTTTTTAATGTACGTAGTTATCTTAATTAGTAGAATTTTATTCATTTGTGTTATGTGAAGTTACTACGTATAGGGATGAATTGGTCCCTAATAAGATTGGCCAATTAATCTTTTTCGGTTCCAAAAATGGTTCTAAACTTCTAATCATCTTATTGGCTATCGGGGAGAATAATAATATTAATTGGCAACTTTTTTAGTGATTGGAGGAAGTAGAGTTGGCACATTTATCCATTGGGACGAATGGAGGACTGCTCCATTAACATTGCTCCATTGAGAATAATTTATGAATGGAGCCAATGAAAGCAAATAAAAGATATCTCTGTTCAAAATTATATCAATTCAATGGAGTGAATGGAGCGAATGGACTTTTTCCATTGACTCAATTGGCTCTATTGAAAATTTTTCCAATGGATAACCTCCATTGCCAACTCTGGGTAGAAGTGAGGTGGGTGTTAACTACTTTTAATTTAGTTTTCGAATTAGGCTAAATAGAACCTTGTAGTCATAATAAGCTCCAAAGCCTTAGTTCTCAAAACTAACTTCTTGAACCTAAAGCCTTGGTATAGCAGGTCATACTTGTAAATAGGTAGTACTTTGTCTAAAACAGAGCCAGATTTTTGTTTTACAAAATTCATGACTATTAAATATTAAAAATATATATATATATAAAACTACCTTTTAGATTCTAAAAAAATTTTTTCTTATAAAATTTTGATATAAACTATACTTTGCTCTAATTTAGCTTTAATCTATAAAAATTTGGTTTAATTTAACATTGTACAGATTTTGTAAATAATACATATCGACATTTGTTATCGAAAAAATATCATCATACTAATTCAGTGATAACAATATTTAGACCAAATTAATTAATAACACGGCGGGGTCAAAATTTTGAAATCTTAAATAATATTTTAATAACCCAGAGGAAAAGCAAAGAAGCTGGCAGCTCAGATCCATTTAAAATTTTTATATTAAGAAAACCAAGAAATTAATTTCGTATAGCCTTAATTATATAAAATATGGAATATTTTATTTTTATAGAATTAATGTTTTCAAATAATTATATTAATTTTATTCGGTTGTTAAAAATTATTTAGAAATAGATTTAAATCCTAATAATCATTAATATGACATAAAAAAAGTTGTATACACAAGTGTTTTACTATATTTATATTACCTAAACTTTTGTTAAATAGAAGACCAATACATCATAAAACTCTAACTTAATTTTAACATATAAAATCACTTTTTGTCCAAAAATTTTTTTATCCAGGAAAAGTAATGTCAACAGCAGGTACACTTTACTTAGACTCAATATCTGTAGCTTGTTCAATATTTTTCATCTCACTTGAATCCTGTTTAATATTTGATGGTGATGTCTCACCTTCACCTTCACCAGTTTGCCTTACTTCTCTATGAACTGGTAGTGGAGAATGCGATACGTCGCCAAATAGGTCATCCATTTCTTCTAATGATTTATTTTTTGTTTCTGGAAAGAATAGAAATATAGAAACACCCATCATTAGACCGAATATACCAAAGATTATGTAAGTTCTATTCGTATTAATGTGTGAAAAAAAAAAAAGATCAGGTAAGGTACAAGGTTACTTGAAAATAAACATTTTGCACTATTCTATAAAAGAAAAAAACCAACCCCCATGTAATGCTATTAATAATTCAATAATAATAATTATAAGAGATAACTTGTTAGACTTTGATTAACTATTTAATAATGTAACAAAAATAAAATATGCATACCTATCCAATAGTGTAGGAACAACTTGCCCGATAATAAAATTGAAAAGCCAATTGGAAGCAGTTGTTATCGATAATGCCTTTCCTCGAATACTATAATTGAACAAGAATGAAGAGTAAAATGGTTAGTCTTATAACGCCGAAGTAATTAACACAAAATAATTCACATGCTAATATATGTGACACTTTACCGTAAAGGAAAAATTTCCGCAGGGTAAATCCAACCTCCCTAAAAAAAATCAATGAATTATACGTAGTAATTAATTAATTCAGATCCAATAAATAATAACTAATAATTTAAAAATGTACAAACCGGTCCCCAAGAATAAGCATAGGACGCCACAAATAAATAAACAAATACTATAACTGAATAAGAACTAGCAGTTGTATCTAAATGCATGGAGTTTTTTCCCAAATTTGTATCATAATATTTTGTTCCATGCGTAGCCAGTATTATCCCGATTATTAACATAAAAATTCCCATTAATATTCCGCCGGACATTCTGTTTAAAAAAAAAAAAAAAATTAGGCGCTGGCGGAGTAAATAAGCCAGATATTTTAATAGGTAAAATATCTTACAGAGTAGGTCTACGACCCCATGAATCTATCCAGAGTATAGCAGGAATTGTGGCAAGCATGTTTACAATACCTTGAACAAAAATTTTTGGTTAAGTTCATGATGTATTAAATTATTTAAACCTGCGTCAGTAGAATAATGATAATAATACATACCATTTATACCAGTGGCAAGAAGTGTTGAGGCATTACCTTCTAGACCGGCGCTAGCAAATATTTGTGGAGCATAATACTAAATAAAATAAAATAAAAATTAAGCAACCTTAAAATTAATTAAATTTCATGAAAAAATCACACATACCATGATAGCATTAATTCCAGTTAACTGTTGAAATGCTTGAATAGCAATCCCGAGCATAACTCTTTTACGAATATTTTCAGGACCTTTTTTTAATAGTTCCAAATAACTCTTTGCAGCAACTTCGCGTTCAAATCTAACATTCTCTTTAATCTCATTGAACTCATCAATAACAATAGGATCATTTTTGTCACCATTAGAGCGAAGTTTTGCTAGTACTATAAGTGCTTCATCATCTCTGTCATTATCTAACAGCCAGCGAGGAGAGAACGGTAGGATCAAAGTTCCAAGTGCTTTATTGGAGAAAGTTAAAGTTGATTAAATGAAATTCATACAGCATATAAAATGCATGTAGATAATGGATAATTTACCGAGTAAGAAAGCAGGAATAACTTGAATCCCCAATGGAATTCTCCATTGATTAGAAGAATCGATTTTCTCGGTCGCATAATCGATCCAGAATGAAACAGCAATGCTGAAAGTGTCACGTGATAATATATAAAAATCAGTGTTAAATTTAATTATTAAACATAAATTACTATATAACGCTAAATAAATAAATAAATATTGATTACCCTATGGTAATTGTAAATTGCTGAAGGGAAACTAAGCGCCCACGAATTTCTTTAGGACTAATTTCAGATTGATACTATGATTATGAACGAGAAAGAAACTCGTTAATTATAAATTTACCTTTTTTATTGAAAATACCTAAACAACCGATTAAATTGCAAGATCAGATGTAACGTGAAATTTTAATAAAAAGAATCATTTATAAAAAATTCCTTGGCAACTTCTTATTAAATCTTGCTTGATTTTCACGTTACGCTGATCTTTGAAATATGATTGGCTGTTAGCGTAGAATTTTGGAGGTGTAGTTTTATGGACATACCAGAGGCACCATCATTGATAGAACACTGCGGAATATAGGGAATACAGAAGTGAAGTGTTTATGTCAAGAAAATTGCAAAAAACAATAATTAGACTAACAGTTTTCAATATTAATATTGACATACCCAATTGACAGGCCAGAAACAATTCTACCAACATATAATTGGGCAAATGTGGTTGAAGTGGCTTGTAAAATACTGCCGACAATAAATACTAAGGAACCACCCAAAATAGAAAATCTTCTTCCAAGGCGATCAGCGGAATATCCTGATGCGAGAGCACCTAGTTAAAGGAATTTTTAAAAACAATTCAGTTACACTGTAAGTTCTGTGGCGAAGTCAATGAAGAGTAGTGAAATAAACACACCAACAAAACAACCGGCCAAAAATGATGATACAATTGAACCTTCTTTTGCTGGACCCGAAGGAAATTCATGACGAAAGTGTTGCATAGTAAGAACACCAGATATGACGCCTTTTTATTAATAATCATCATTAGCGAATGAGAATATAAGAATTTGCTATTATTGTTATTAAAAAAAATTTTTTTTAACGTACCAATGTCATACCCGAATAGAAATCCGCCTATATATAAAATTCACGATTAACATTTTTTTATTACGTGAAAGAAGAAAAAAATATGTATATAATACTATTATTACCGAATGCGGAAAATATAGCACATAAATATACGAATGCATGACTTTTGGTTTTGTTCATATTCTTTTAGTTATCAAAGAATTAGGCAACAAAAATTCTTATTAAAAAAAAAAAAAAAAAAAAAAAATCTTAATAGTTTCAGAAAAACGCATTAAATAAAATTAACTACTAATAAATAATTAAAAAATGTCAGAAGTCAACGTGCAACGTGCGCAATAGTTAACAAAATCAAATTAATTAATTTAGTAATTACTTACCTTACTCAGAATAAGAGACTACTATATAATTAAGGCTTGAGACTGAACGGTAAAATTTAATTTTAAATTATAGAGTTTGTCACCTTGGATGGTTGGTTAGCTATAACTATTTAAATTAATGAATGATCGGAAATAGATAATAATAGTATATAATGACGGAGTATAATGACGGAAAGTTGTTAAAAATAGCAAAACATGTTTAAGTTCTGGGCGTACCTAGCTGCAAAATATTCAAATTTGGATAACAATCGGTAAGTGAAAATGCAATTACTACTAATGACGAAATAATGAATTAACAAATAAGCTTATTCAGAAATCATAATATTTATCGTTATATTTTGAAATAAAAACAAAAAGTTTACAATCGTGCATGAACAATGTAAACCAGTTCTTAATTTCAAAGTGGAACTATATTTTTACTAAGGGTAATTTATAATTATTCTCAGACCTTCATACACGCGTAATTTTACATAAATAATTAAATTTGTATAACTATAATTATACTTCTCTTTCCCCTTAGTGCGTTAATGTACGAACTGTACATTGATATATATCTGTTTTCAACCTAGTCTTTTTCGACTTGATGATTTTGTCGATATTTATTATGAGAATCAAAGTGGGGTTGAGATCAAGTGAAAAAGCCAATGGTCTTTTTATAGAAACTCTAACCATTTAAAGGAAACATTTAAAGAACTAAGTGCTATATATCTCATACTACTCTAGGTACTACCTAACGCCGTTTCTATCAACAAAAAAAAAAAAAAATCATAAATACAAAAAAGAAGGTCATATTTAAGAAAATATATTAAGTAATTAAATCAGCAAATGATTTTCTTAAGGATCCATTTTGTTCTTTTGATATTTCTCACAAATCAATAGTCAGCTGTTCAAAATTGGTGGATAATCCTAGATCACAAAAAACGGTTTCTATCGCTATTGTTTTTATTGTTCTAAAATGATGTGTTAAATAATTTCCCCTGAAGGTCTTATTCTAATATTATCCTAATATCGATCTGCTTATAATTTAACCTTTCTTTAAAATAAGATTACAGTCATTGGACTTGGGGATGAGAATTGATTCTAAAAACTTCGAATCGCTTATAATCGATTTATAATCGATAATCGAATCTTACATATATGTCATTATCACTTATTTTAATCTTGAACAGTACTTTAAACCAAATAATAGATTTTTGTAGTATTAGGATACCATACAAAGTTTTTTAACATTTATTATTTTAATCCATCAGTTTTAGAAGTTAGATCCATTGGGCCAATTATCCGGATATCCAAATAATTTCTAGACACCTAATTCAAAAACTATAGGCTTAAAATTTAATAAAAAACAATACGCTTTATATTTTAACAAACATATAGCCATTAAACATTTACAGTAACTTTCGAAATAAGATGGTTAAGCACAAACTAAAGGCTAGGTTAAATGACTCGTAAAGTTTAAAAACAAAAGAACTATTTTTTAAAATAAATAAAATAACTTAAAATAAGTGAAAGTTCATTATAATTATGCTTCTAATTTAAGAATTCAACTCGTGACTCGAATATAGTGTTGGATCGGTCCGGAATGAGACTGATTAATAAAAACTGTCCTTTGATAGTAGCTAAACTATTTCAAATGTGATTATAGACACCCAAACAATTTCGGAATTGTTTTGACACTTACGGCAGTTTTCGGTCGGGATTCAGGCTTTTGCCAAAACCCAAATATTGTCCCAAATCCATATGAGCGGAAATTTTTAGTTGGATTAATGAAATTTAGGTGATAACAGTGATACTCATAAATACTCATAAACAGCTTAGCTCAAAATGATCAAATCATCACTTTTTAATCTCAGTAATCACATCATGTTTTATATCTTATTGGCTTAGATTCTATTTAATCTCATCGTTCAAATTACTTGTAGGCTAGGATTTTTTGATGGGAATTTGGGGTGATTATTAAAATAAAGTAAATCTTCGATCACAGAATCATAATGATATTATTGTTACTAATAAAATCGTTGGGTTCATAAGCATAATAAAACAATCGTCCGATCTGGTTTTAGTGACGGAACTTAAAAGTTTAAGTTTAAACTAGCTAGTTCAGGTAGTTCATTATGTCATTCAGACTAATATTAATATACAATTAAATGAATCAAATGGGTTCGTATTATTTCACAGACACTCAACTCACAGACATGCCACTTCATAAACAATCAATTCACTGACAAGCTTATT